TTGCAGTTACGCAACTCAGGTCAGGGGCATCCTTGGGCCCATCCATGGTCTAGAAGGTTCTGAGAGGAGTCACAGGGCTCCCTCTTCTCCTACCTCCCCACCCGATTTGGTTGTGTGACAGGTAGGAGCATGTGAGGAGGAGTGTCCCAGCTGCTTTCCGAAGCACAGCACACCAGAGGCACGGCCTGGACCCCTCCTCACCTCTGCCCCATGGGGTCACCCATCCAGGGGGCCAGGGAGGTACGGAGTGCTGAAAGGCAGGCCTCAAATGGGGAGTCCAGCGCGGGCGTGGGTCTAGCTCTGGGCCTTCAGCTCCCTGTGGGTTTAAACATGGGCGATGGCGCACCCTGGTGGCCATGGGCAGCATGCTGGCTGTCAGCATTTCCATCAGCCTGCAGGGACTCCTGCCCACAACACAGGCTGGCTGGGGGAGGACAGGGCAGTGCATACAGCCCCAGGCAGGGTACCAAGTCCTGGTCACATCTGAGCTCACACCTACTGGCATGGGGCTGAAATGAGTTGGGAGGGGTCTCCTGAGGCTCCCTTTTAGGAAAGGCCTCCCATAAGCTTAGACACCATCCTTTGTGGGGACACACTGAAAACCGTTTTAGAGGATCTGCCTATTTGCCCTAAAAGGAAGATGAACAGCCGCGAATGGCTTCTCTGGAACAGCAGCTTGCTCTTGGGGTTCACGATGAGTCCCAGGGGCACAACAGGACAGGCTGGGAGCCAAGAGCCTTCACATCTGCAAGCCCCATACAAGGCCTCACACGCTGAAGAAACTGAGCGGGAGGACCCCAAGGATTTGAAGTTACAGCAACGTCCCATTCCCCACTCTTGGATCAGCACAGAGCAGTGGGGCAGGACCCATTCCTGATCCATGGGAGGGGGCCTCAGGGGCCACCGGCCTGGCACTGAGGAATGGACTCTCAGAATGTCCCTTTCAGTTCTCGGCTGGCCAGGTTGCTCTGAAGTAGGAGCCAGAGTGTCCACTTTACAGACTCCACAGGCGATGACTGTGGCCAACGGTCCCAGCTCTGAAAGGACGGAGGAGTGGGAGGTGAGCCTGACCGGCCTCAAGCTCCACCTGGCACTGCTGGTGCTGAAGACACTGACAGGTAGGCCAGGCAGCTAGAGAGCTGTCTATGAGTAACCCAGACCCAGCCCACATGCTGCCATGAAACCTGCTGCTAGAAAGGAGGCCTTAGAGGTCTGCAGAGCAGGGAGGAGAGGTCCTGGTCTGCTTGGCACCTGTGTGACCACTGCTGCTGCAGCTGTCACCCGCCAAGGGCCCACATTGTGCCAGGCCCATGCTCAGCACTTCGTATTTATCATCCTTGAGACCTCTGAGGCTCAGAGGGGTGACCACGCAGCTAGAGAGGAGGCAGAGACTTAAGCCGTGCTCATTAGCACACAGCACAGATTGAGGCCCTGTGCATGCACAGGCACGCATGCATGTAAATATAAGAGACTACTGGGGGAACCAGCAGTTAGCGTAATGGCTATGTCACTGGACTCCCACGTAGTCGGCCGCGGTTCGTGTCCCGGACCCGGTGGCTTAAAACGCACGCCGGGCGCGTGTGCGTGCGTGCCCAAGATCCCGAGAGGAGAATGGAAGAGAAGGGATTGCGGCGTGACCATCCCCCCTGGGGGGTGATTTCTCGCTTTCTGTCTCTATGTCTCTCTCTGTCTGTCTGGCGAGCGCACGCACCCTACAGTGAAAATCTCTCCAAAAAAAAAAAACATTTTAAAAAAAAGAGACTACTGGGGGAACCAGCAGTTAGCGTAATGGCTATGTCACTGGACTCCCACGTAGTCGGCCGCGGTTCGTGTCCCGGACCCGGTGGCTTAAAACGCACGCCGGGCGCGTGTGCGTGCGTGCCCAAGATCCCGAGAGGAGAATGGAAGAGAAGGGATTGCGGCGTGACCATCCCCCCTGGGGGGTGATTTCTCGCTTTCTGTCTCTATGTCTCTCTCTGTCTGTCTGGCGAGCGCACGCACCCTACAGTGAAAATCTCTCCAAAAAAAAAAAAACATTTTAAAAAAAAGAGACTACTGGGAGGAGGGTGGCCACAGTGGGACTGTGAGAGAGGGACAGAAGAGGCTGGTCTACCCTCAGCAGCTCCCACCTTCTCCAATGAAGTCTGCTCTAGGCCAGCTCTGCCTCCCCAAAGAGCTCCATTAGTCAGCGTGGGAATACCGCTGGGACAGTGTCAAAGGGCTGGGGCCCAGAGCCCGCCCTGCCCAGGTGCGTGCAATGCAAAGGCTCCGGCTGGAGGCACTCAGCTTAGGAGAAGATTCTGCACTCTGTTCGGATCTGGGTTTCACATCTTCTGATGACGTATCGTGGCTTTTATGTTGGGATAACAGAGTGATTTATTATTTACCGAATGCAGTAGGCGCTCGGCAGATCAATTTCAATAAAACAATGGATTATAAATGCCTCTGGCAATCTGGCAGTAGCAGCAATCAGCAAAACATGTTGTTCTAAATGCTGCATAATAAATTGACTATAATAAACTCATAATTATTCTACTGGCTACATTTCAAAGTTAGCACTAGAAAAATAAAAGCACCAATTTGGGCTTGGCACGAACATCCCTGGGCTTCTTTGGATCCCTCCTGTCTCTACAGCTGCAACCAGAGACTCAGGTGCCGTGTGCTGTGTCAGAGGCCGAGGCCCCGGCATCAGGGTTGTGTGGAGGCCCCAGGTCAGGGGCCACCCCAGCCAGGAATACAGCTGGACCTGGCCCCTCATGGGATGAGGGCCTCACCAGGTCTGTCTCTGCCCTGAGACTGCGGTCCTGGGTCCCGTCCTTCTGGCCCAGCTAGAATGGGCCACGGAGCACTAGAAAAATTATGGAAGGTGAAGGCTCCTGCAGAGGCCAAGTGGTCTCTCTGGGACCCCCAGGGGCTCAGCCATGGCCCAGGGGGCAGGGTTCCCCACCCCTTTCCCTGAGCTCCAGCTGAGCCAAGTTTGAGGCAGCCAGGCCCCTCTCCAAATCCCTCTGCTGCACCTGGGCTGGGGCCCTCCTGTGTCTTGTCTTGCCCATACTCTGGAGTGTGGGGAGTGAGGTCCCCACCTCCTAGGATCTGAGCGGAGGTTGGGTGAGAGAGTCGAAAGAGACTTTCGGGAAGAACTCTGTTAGGGTCACTGTTCTCCCTGGCTCTCGGGCCTCCAGGCGGGCAACTGAGCTCGGCTGGACCCTCCAGGCCCTGGGTAGAGCAGGGCCCAGCCACCGCCTAAGCAAGTCCACCACCCAGAGGCAGCATAGCACAACACTGCAGGCTGGGCAGCGGCCCACAGTTTGTGGAGCTCACCGTGGCCTGGGGGTGAGATGGGTGTGTGGAGTTGGTGTGGTCAGGCAGGCTGAGGAAGTGGACACTGAGGGCCAGCTCACAGCTAGGTGGGTGGTGTGAATGGCAGTGTCCTGGCCCGCCTCTATGGCCACAATGGGTGTCCCTCTTCTGCATGCTTCCAGCCCAAGCTGGTGCTGGCCCTTGGGCAGAGCACGCTGGCTCTGCTCTCTTCAGTATCCCTCCATAGCTCAGCTGGCAGAGCGGAGGACGGTGGCTGATCCCCTACTGCAGCATCCCTTCTGCTGTCACGATGCATCTGCTACTGCCACTCATGGATGGACACTGAGGCTTAGAGAGGGACGAATGGGACTGTCTCTTCGGAAGGCTGAGCAGGGCGCCCCCAACGGTGGCCTCAGCCAGAACATCATGTTTTACTATGAACTCTGGGTGAGCAGTCTGTGGCCAGTTGCAGGTCTGGGTGCCCAGTGGATGGGCAGATCCCTGGACTGCGTGAGTTCCCAGGGCACGGCAATGACAGCTCAGAGCACGGCATCTCTCTGGGCCTGGAGGTCTGTGCATGTGTGCTCACGCCCCTCGTGGATGTGGTCTGGGGATGCCTGGGCATCCTGCCACATGGCCGGGTCCTGCCTGGGTCAGGCCAGGCCCAGACCAGAGAGCAGCCATCGCCGAGCTCCAGCCCAGGAAGCAAGAGCAGCAGGCTGCTGCGGGATGCCCTCCGAGTCAGCCAGCGCCGCCCAGAGAGGAAGCCGCGACACTGCCTGGAAGCAGCGCATCGGAAACTTGTTCAGGGGCATCAGCGACAGATGAGAAGGTGCCAAAGAAAACAGGCAGGGCAGGGCACCCCGGTCTGCTGGTCAATGAAAGAAACGTGTCTGACAGCCAAGAAAGGGAGCTCTGTGGGGCCTGTGGCCGGGCCCGGGTCCCCGGCATCTGGGTGGCCTTTAGTAGTCCGGCACTGCCCTGGCCCATGTCTGGGTGGTGGAGAGGCCAGGAGGACAGGCCGAGTGACTGAGTTCTGTGAGCCGGACTGGATCATGGGTGCTCACAGATCCTCCTGCGCGTCCGGAGCACTGGCTGTGCCCTACATGCTAGGGATCTTAGGCAGGACCTCAACTCCTTCAACAGGAGAGGCTAGTGGAGGGCCCGACCTGCTGGCTTCTGCCTTGTTGCAGCACCTGTGAGGGGCTGGAGCTCAGCTACGCGTGCTCGGGAAGGCCCTCAGCCCCCTTGGGGGTTGTACCCCACCTGACTGTTCCATCAATGGCCGCTCATGGCCAGGGGTCCTGTGGCTGAGGCTGGTGGCTTCAGAGTGAGGGAGGCTCCCTGGGTCTACCCTGCTCCAGTCTGGGAGGACCCTGCCCTCCCAGCACTGATGCAGAGTGAGGACAGCCTGGGCAGGGCTGGGGAACAATGCAACCCTCCTCAGAGAGCCACCATCCATGGTCCCACAGAAAACCACAGAGACCCTTTTTTCGGGGCTTCCCTGTGGGGCACAGACTCCAGAGAAAGCACCCAACAGCCCAGCAGCCTTGGCAGAGAAGACCAGCCTCCACACTGTGGTCAGTCCTCCTGGGACAGGATCCCAGAGGCTCCAGTCAGCCTTGAGGCTGAGTCCAACCTTGGCCTGGTGGTTCTTGCACAGGGCTGGGCCCTGGTGCACCAGGGTAGGCCTCACTTACCACATGTCTCCGTCCTGGATGGTACGGTCGTTGGGTGCCCCAGCATGTCCGTAGTGCAGCACAGCCGAGTTCTCACCACTGCAAAGGGCAAGGGGTGGGTGGTCAATGGCCCACCCTCAGTCAGCAGACCCTGGGAGGCTGGTTCCCTAATCTCCTGTCCCCAGGACAGTATTGTCTACCCTCTAGTGGAGGCCCAGGGATGGCTGGACCACACCCAGGCACAGTAGAGGGATGGAATAACCCTGGCACTCCTGCAGTCACAGTGCAGCACCGCACTCAGGGCTTCCCAGCCACGAGTGTGAGCACCTGCCCTTCTGGGCTAGGACATGGGCAGCTCATGGGGAGGGCCTCGGGAAGGGACCCCAAGGGAGCCCTTTACTCCAGGGGGCTAATCAGCCCGGTGGAAGAGCACCTGTCTTAGGCGCTGCCCCAGCACACCAACGCAGAGGCAGGAGGCCAGCTGCTCCTCGCGCCTCTGCCCCAGAGCTCCCCTAATGAGCGATGCCTTTAAGAAAAAAAGGACTTTTAAGTCTGTCCAAAGGAAAAAAGAAAAGTCCCACCTGGGTGTAATATTTATGGCCCCGCTCGGGAGTCTCAGGAATCATAAAAGTAGAAATAATGATTTTTCTCTCTACCCACCAGAGAAGAACACTTCCAAGGACTGAGATGTTCACATGTATTATTCATGTGCCGAGGACGTGCACGCCAGCTGAGCTGCCGGCTCCATCCAGGCAGGGCAGGGGCCAGACCCCAGGGCAGAGCTGGGGTGGGGGCAAGGCAGGGGACTGGCTGGGTGAGCAAGGAGCTGAGGAAGCCCCCACAGCCAAGCCACGCCCTGTGCAGACTCATCAGCAGGACACACTCAGCTACACAGGCACACGCAATTGTGCATGCCCTGTGGACCACGCAATGCACATTCGTGGTCATTTCTGTCATGTGTGTGCCTCCAAGCACAGCCGAGCATGTGCTGAGCACACACAGAGCTGCACACCCATACGGAGGGCTGTCCCAGTCACAGTGTGTCACAAACAGATACACTAGAGTGACACGCACACCCACATAGAGCCCTGACGCCCACTGGGAGGTGCCTGAGCACCCAAGCCGACAGCTCCACAAACACCCACATGACTGCAGCTTCTCACACCTCCCCAGCTCCTTCCACACTCTACTCCCACTGTGCACAGAAGCCGCCCATGGACTCACCCGGTAACCACGGGCTCCCTATGAGCCCTTTTGGGGCGAGAGCCAGTGGTGTTCCGAGGAAGAGCTGCTTTCCTGCGAGCACTCCTAGACCCACCAGCTGGAGTTGGGAGGGAGGGACACCAGGTAGTCCCTCTGCATTGGGCAGGCTGGGCTCCCTCCTTTACCCAGTGCCAGGCCTGGCAGGCAGAGGCAATCTTGGCTCCCAGAACCTCAGGCACAAAGAGTGACTTCCAGCTGGGGTAGCCTGGACTGCTGTGGGCATGCAAGCAAGCAAGGGCTTCTAAACGGGGCAAGAGGGGACCCGCCCTGGCCCTCAGCCCACGAGATCCGGCGTGTACTCACCTGCCACAGATGCAGGTGTAGGAGCTATGGCGCATGCCGCCCTGTGAGTAGCAGTAGTGCTCGAAGAGGCTGCAGGGTGAGAGAGACATTAGTGGGAGTCACGGGATCATGCACACCCACCTCCTCCCCATGGTCTCCAGTGCATATCCTCGGCCTTGACCTTGCTCTGCTGCTTCCCCAAGAAGGCCTGAGCTAGAAGTCTGTGAGGTTTGTTGCCTGAAACCCAGGGTCAGCCACCAGCCACAGAATCGCAGAGGTCAGGGAGGAAGCTGAGGGCCAGCAGGGCCAGCCACCTGCCGGAGGAGTTGGCCAGCCTCCCAGGCTCATCGGGGGACAGACAGACACTGGAGCCCCGGCCCCAGGGGAAGATGGGCTGGGGCAGTAGCCATGCATTTCTGCAGGGCTTGGGGGGGAGTCTCCCTGGGACTCCATATCTAGGGGGGAAGAGGGACAGGATGACCACTGACCCACCACGGGGGCGCTGGGGACACAGCCAGAGAGAAATATGGGATCTCTTCCAGTCATGGCGCTGTCTTCTACTCAGTTGGGAAACAGAGGGCAGGAGCTGCTGGGCAGACCAAGGTCTCCAGGGAGGTGGGGGAGGCAGGGTGCTGGGGGAAGAGCTCTGCTTCTCCTTCCCTGGGACAGTCCTGGGGACAAGCTCCCACCCAGAATAGGCAGGCTCAGCAGCAAGGTCTGGAGAGAAAGACAAGACCCCAGCCTTGAGACTAAACTCAGAGCCATGCCAGGGAGGTCTCCACCAGGAGAGTGGGCGGACAGCGAAGGTCTGCCAGTCCAGCAGGGCAGCGAGCAGGTCAGACGATACAGCCTTGGTGAAGGTCGGCAGGGGCACAAGCCTGCTGCTTACTACAGGTTACGGGGGCAGCAGGCTGTCTCCCACACGCTGGACCTTCAAGGCAGATCTTGGAGAGGCTGCAGGGGTGGGAGACCAGGCCACATCAATACCACATGGGCAGTGCTGAGTCCTTGGGAGGCCAAGCTGCCCTGAGCTCTGGACACACCAGAACTCCTGGCCCTCCCCTTTAATGTACCCCAGGACCTTGGGGTCTCACTCTGCATGGGACTTTGAGTTCCAAGGACCAGGTTGCTCCTCAGCTCTGCCCTGATATTCTAGGCACACCAGATATGCAACCTTTACAGAACCCAGCCGGTGAGGGGCGCAATGATGGGAGGCACCCACACCCCTCCCCGAGACCTGGGCAGCCGTTCTCAAACACCAAAGGCCACCTGCGGGCACACCGAGTGGCAGTCCTGCCCTGCACGTTCCACGCATTAGAGAATGTCTGCATGGAGGAGTTTAATCTTGCAGGCGCTGTAAACACAAATTATGTGTAATTGCTATGATTGGGTATTAAGTCGTTGTTATGCAGGAACGGTTCTGCTATGTTCAATCAGCTTTCAGGCTTGCCTTACAACCCTTACAGGATGATTGGTACCTGCGAGGGAAATACTTCCTTAATTTAAAGGATTGCAGGAACGGGGGCGGGGGGGGGGCAAGGAAAGCCACTCATTCCTCACCTCAGCTGCCCCCACATCCACAGTGGGGACACTGAGTAGCTGCCATCAGCCTCAGAGGCCATGGGGATGGGGCTAGGTTGCAGCACAGAGTATGGCCACAGTGTGGGCACGTTCCCGCCATGTTAAGGGAGAGGCTGGTGCTCCTCACAGCAAGCCCTAGTGTGCAAAGCCTGCAACAGGCAGCCTCAGAACGGCCCCGTGCCTCCCTCCTAGACATGGAACTCCCACACCCGAGCTACCATGTTCCTCATGCCCCGTCGGCTATGGATGTGGCTTGATCCCAATACAAGTAGTCTTTAGGGGGGCATGAGGCCACCCTCAATTGAGAGGTGACATGCAGACACAGGCTGCACTGGGGTTGGCTTTAGAAAGTTCAGGTAGGTGCAGATGAACAGCATATTCTATGGGAGACCAGAGGTAGCGTCCTGAGGAAGCTGGGTGTGGGTTTGCACCCCTGCCTGTAGCTTTCCTGGCGGGACCACCCTCACCGTGGAGATCACCGCACGCTCTGGCTTCTGTTTACACAAAAGAAATTCTGAGTAAAGGCAGAGCGCACTGAAGCACCAAACTCAGGAAAGGCTGGACCGACTTTCACCTGCAAACTGCAGCCCAACGATGGCCACTGTGCCAGCCGCAGTGACACTGCCACACAACGAAGAGTTGGAAAGGTAGAGGAGAAACGTCACATGCTAAAAAGCCACTCCAGCCTGAAAACCTTGAGTTCTTCACATTGGACTTTAGCAGCAAACCTTTTAATTTTTTCAGTTTGCTATACGGTGCGTGCGCTTGCAGGAGACAAGAGAGAGAGAATCATCCCCCAGAGGGGACGGCCATGCCACAGTTCCTTCTCCATTATCCTCTTGGGATTTTGGGTGCATGTGAGTTTCAGGCAGGCCTGAATTTGCATGAAAGGAAGGAGGGGCCAGGCAGTGGTACAACAGTGACACAACTGAACCCACATGGAAAGGTGCTGGAGGCTACTCCCTACTTGGCCATTCCTCTACCACCCTTGTTTATAAATGTCTCCCGAGCGAAATTAGAAGATGCTTCGTACCCAGGTATGAATGAGAACCCACAGATGCTTCGTATCCAGGTGTAAACGAGAACCTGGAGAGCCTTCTGTGAGAAAGACGAAGTGGATGAGGTATGCACTGGCAGGAGGGCAGCCCCCTTGTCAGTGCCTACAGATGCCTAATGGGCAGGATAGCGAATTCCCAGCCTAGATCTGAAGGAACCACGTCTCCAGGGACAGCTTCACTGGGCCTCCTCTGGGATCTACAAATCCCGCCCAGGGAGTGTTTCTGGGCACACAGCCCAGCTCCTGCCTTTGAAGGTTTATCATCTAACAAGTAGATAAGTCACAGCCCTATAAAAACGCACTAGATGCCCCAAAACTGTAGAGGGGCTGCCCGGGACACCAGTGTCAGTCCAGCTGCCAGTGCAAGCTGTGAGCACTGGCCGGACAGAGGCGCTGTGAGAAGATGGCATGAGCCGCTTCACCCCGCTTACCAGGCCGGGCTTCGAACTTCGGGTCCCCAACAGATAAAGAGCAGGGAGGGGTCAGGGATGGGAATATGACAGAAAAAAGGCAGGGTGGTACAGTCCTCTTGGCCACACGGAGAGCTTTTTAGAAGAGCAGTAAGCCTGACGGTTTGAGTCCCAGACCTGGCGGCTTGAAGATCACGCCAGGCACATGTGCACGCGCGCCTGCCCAAAATCCTGAAAGAGGAATGGAGAACGGACAGTGGTATGGCCATCCCCGTTGGGCAGTGAGTTCTCACTTCCCCTCTCACCAACTCTATCTCTCCGGCAAACACACGTACCCTACAATGAAAACCTAAAAAAACAAAAACAAAAACAAAACAGAAGAGCGGCAAGTCTAGACCTGGGGTTATGAAGCTGGGTAGGGGCGAAACTTCCCAGCTCCAGTCCCAGTCCTGCGGTGGCTGCTCTCCACGCCCTTTCTGCAACACCTCATGACCGAGGTGACTCCAAAGCCAAACCCTGGCTCTGCCACTTGCCAGCTGCATGGCCTCTCTGTGGCTGTTTCCTCCTCTGTAAAACGGGGATGATCACGGTACCTCCCCCCATGGCTGCCATGCCCATGCAACAATCTGTTACGTGTGGCACACGTGGGACAGTGCTTGGCACACCACGGGCACTACACGCCAGGTCTGCTAGTCACCGCTGCTGTTGTTCAGAGGCCTTGAGGCGAGTCCACACAACAGGGATCCTGCCTGTGGGGCAGCAGAGAGCATGGGCACCCCTCAGTGGACACTGCGGGCCTTGAGAAACAGCCTCTTGGCAATTCCTTTAAAGCTAAATAGAACCTGTGTGGATCCTGAACACCCACACTGCGACGCACAGCCTCGTTCCCTATGGAGCTACAGAGGGTGAGGATCCACCGCCCCTGAACAGGCCATGCACACACAGCCTCTCTGGGACACGTACAAGAGGACACGAGAAGGGTGTCCTCTGCACCAGGGTCCAGGATACATGGAAATACACACACGCGCAGAGTCCTCCTGCTTTAAAAGGGGCATCTGGGCTCATCACCTCCCTTCCTGGTGACCTCTCTGCCACCTCGTAGAACTGATCCACAAGAGTCCAGGGTCCACCTCCTCGGGGATGTGCCAGGGCCCTGAGTGTGTAAAAAGAGGGAGGAGAAGGGATTGCAAAGTGCTTTGTGATGCGTGGGGTCAAGCAAGTGTATCGTGGATAGCAGTCTCAGCCCTTTTAAATCAGTTTCTTTTCTTCTTTTTTTTTTTTTTAAAGAGATTTTTGCTATAGGGTGTGTGCACTTGCCAAAGACAGACAGACAGACAGACAGAAAGTGAGAAATCACTCCCCAGAGGCAATGGCTATGCTGTTATTCCTTTTCCTCCATTCTCCTCTGGGGATTTTGGGCACACACATGCCTGGCATGAGTTTCAAGCCTCCAGGTCTGAGACTTGAACCATGGTTGTCCATATGGGAGTCAGGCGCCTTAACCACTACATCACCTGCTGACCCCTTATATGAGTTACTCTTAAAAAATCATTATTATTATTTTTAGAGATTTTTTTGCCCTATGGAGCATGCGCTCTCCAGAGAAAGAGAGTGAGAAGAAAAGTGGGAAATCACCCCTCCCAGAGGGGATGGTCACAACGCAACTCCTTCTCCTCCCAGGATCTTGGGCACGCACGCACAAGTGCCTGGCATGATTTTGAAGCCACCAGGTCCGGGACTCGAACTGAAGTTGGCCATGTGGGAGCCCTGGGACATAACTGCCATGCCATCTGCTAGCCCCTAAATGAGTTACTTAAATTCACATTTAAAAAAATTAATTTCGATGGTAATTTTAGGTATGAATGATCCCTATGAAGATCTTACTGAAGGAAACGTCTTTTCAGAGTAAGAGCAGGCTCTCCCACAGAGCAGGGCCCTGAGATTCCTCTAGAGGCCAGCAGGGGTGTTTCTTGCTTTAGCAAAGCAGAAGCAACAGCTACAGAACCCTTGGAGCCAAACCAGATGTGCCTACCAAGGGGCCA